CCCACTCTCCTCAACGAAACCCAACCGCCACACGCGGGCCGAGCCGGGTCGGGCCGGGCGAGCCGTTAATCCTGCGGCCGAGCGGGGCTTGCACGAAGCGGCCGGCCGGGCTCCCCCCTCGCGCCGGGCTTCCTCCTGCTCCGCCCTGCAGCGCGCAAGCGGAAGCGGAGTCACACCGGCACTTCCGACCGACCCACACACAGACAGACAAACCGGCGTGAGGCAGCCCTCAGGTAAAGCCCGACCTCTCCTTCCTTCCCTCCCTCCAGCAGCCCCTCAAATGCGCCCACATTTGGGGGGATAACTACCACACCGATCTGCACCCCCTCCCCGTGGGGGGGGGGGGGGTGTTTCCCAACGCAAAATGAGTGATTTGTATGTCTTTTTTGATGATATTACAACCGACTCCAGCATCAACGGAGGACCCAGATCTGGCTCTGACCGTTCAAATAAAAATCTAACTATAAATAAGCCCCAAATATTGCATATCAATAATGCACGCCTTGCTCAAAGCTCAGCCAAAAGCGAAGGGCGTATGGAAGGGCCGATATATGCAGGCGGTCGGATGAGAGGATCGCACAGGTTGCAAATGAATATATGGATTTTTGCGCCCACACGAGGTCCCCCCCTTTCTGCCACGCAGATCCTGCGGCCTAATTTTTCACCCTTTGCATTTGCTGAGATTTTGCATTTCGCTCCGCTCGCTTCCAGTTTATAAGCTCGAGGCCAAATACTTTTGCTTCAGTCTGAAAAGTTATGAAAACACTTCTTTATTTCCCGCTCTTGTCCGTATAGATTTAATACAACCCATTAAATTGTACTACTGAGGAATGAAACCATATTTTGGTATTTGGCTTCTCAGAATTCTAGGATTGTAAGTATATTATGAAAAATAATAGTATTGATTCAAATTTAACTTTTAGTTGTAATTGCAGTTGTTTTTGTAACACTAATTCTTATAGCATTGTTTGGGAAGGAAGTGCATTCGGAGCATTGTTTCTGATATATGTAATGATTGTGTTTTTAATGTTTGTGGTGTTTCTTAAAGCTAAGCAGTGTTATATGCGTAGCAAAGAACTTTAAAATAAAATTGTGTTGTATGAATTAAGTGTGTAATCATTGTGAAATCGTGCAATCAGCTAACTACTCCCCCAGCCAGTGCATCAAAATGAATCAGTAAATTGTGTGGGATTTTCTCTATTCCATAACCCACTAGAGACAAAAATAAAGCCCCCCACTTCAATTACTTTTAGTTTCTCTATGCAATGGTTGTTTTAAACCCAGCGATATGAATGCTAGCTGGTCAGAGCAGAAGATGCAAAAAAAAACCCAGGGGCTTTTTCTACGTGCGGCACAAAAGGAATAGCGCCACTGTTGTTATTAATGAGCAGTGTCAAATTTAGGGCAAAGATAGATGGACACTGTCCAAATAGACTTACCCTACAAAGCCCCGAACGTGTCTGTCTGCCTGCATGGGCATACACTGGACTCGTGGGGAAATCCCTTGGCTTCAGCAGGTGTCCAGGTGGTCTGGAAGGTCCACTTCTATGAACAGGCCGAAGGATTGGGGCATCAAACCATCATCCTATGAATGCATACATGGACATTTCATTCCATCCAGGAAGAGCACACACCAACTGCTGAAACTTCCTTAGCCTGACAAAGGGTTTTTGAACCCGAAAGCTTGCTTAATAACTATTCTCCAACCATTTGGGTTGGTCTAATAAAAGATATCAAATTCACCCAAGGAAACTTGTCTACGTGGACATTTCACACCTGTACCCAGTCCTGCACACACTTGTGCTTGACCTTAGATTTAATATGAATAATATTTCTCTCCCTCTCCCAGAGTGAAGTTCCATCAGTTATGAAACTAATTGCAGCATGCAGGTGTGACTCATAAAGTCAAACACCTGTGTAAGGCTTTGCAGAATTTAGGGCCTCAAGTATTTAAAATAATGGTGTTGAGAAACACCTTTATGGAATAGTTGCATTGTCCCTAAAAGATCTGCATAAAAAAAAAGGTAGTGTGCCATAAGAAAGTTAAGCAAGGAATATATATGCATTTTAATAGTAGGGAAAACATATCATTGTTGAAGCAATGAATTAAAAACATCTCTTTACCTTTGCATTTATGCCTTGGATCTTCACAGGAAGGAATTTTTTAAAAATCGAATTAAGTTGTATTTGCGATTTTGTTCACACTCAGTTTTTGTTCATTCCCCTTTGCATGTCCATGTTCCACCCATTATGCTGTTTAGGTTGTAGTGAAGGGGAACATTTACACTCAAACGATTTGGGTTGGAATTTAAAGTCGTGCAAAAACTTTAGGGGAAAAAAAAAAGCAAAACAAAAAGCACGCTTCTTCCAAAGTTTTGGTTCAACTGAGATTGAAAGCACTGCAATGTGGGCTGGGGTATTCAATGCAACACGCACTCCATTCAACATAGTAATCAGGCGGCATTCAATGATGTACGTCATTATTTTGTTTTTCCATGATATCCAATTAACAACTGTTTAATTAAATAATCCATAAATGAATGTCTTTATATGCCATTGTGTAGCCACTGTTAGTGATCCAGATAAATACATGGTGGAGTACAGTCTGGTAGGGATGGCAGCCAAAAAGGATGATTAAGCAGAGAAAGTGACTGTAACATGCAGAACAATTTTCATCGTTTGAGGCTTAGCCCAGCTCCTACAGGCTTGGCTAAAGGGAGTCTCCTTGACAGGAGGTCATGGCCCCAGGAGGAGCCAAATAGCCAGCAGGAAGCAGAGACATCCCTATCCTGGATACCTTTTGCACATGAGTAACTAATTAGTAATTACCCACAAGAGCAGCCCTGGTGAAGGGTTAGACTGCTCACAGGTACAACTCACATGCATAAATATATTCAGTTGCCTACATGCTTGCATAATCAGGACCCAGTTGATTCACCCACTGGAAGACTGCCTGCTAATTCATTAATTAAATTGCCCGCTTCTTACGTGCTGGGTAGCTGGTGAAACACTGGCAGTGTTAATAGATATACCGTGGCTTAGGGCCAACCTGTTGGGTGCAGAAATGAAGTGCCCGCATCCCAAACTGTGATTCAGAAGACCTCTGGCTCAGCTGTCCCCGAGCCCTGGAGGTGCCTAAACCACCGCTGCCATAGCACTCGGTGTAAAAGCTCTACCTCTGCACATGTATGGAAGCGCCTCCATGTTGACGCAGCCGAGCAGCTCAGTGCCTTGCTTGCAGGAATCGGGATCCGGAGACAAAGAGCCCCTCTGCCTCCGTCCCCCGAGGGCTGCAGTCCGTTAGGCGCGCTCAGAACCCACACCAGAATCGGTTTCCCCGTGGAATACGGCCACGGCCACCGTTGTCTTTTAAAATGTGCACGGCCGTGGTAGTGGTGCCTGCCCTTTTCTCTACCAGCCTAAGGGTTATAGCAACCCCCCCAGGGAGCATAGGCCTAGATTTAATTTTTCCCCAACCCGAAGGTATTCACACCAGTCTTTCCCACCTCCCAGAAAAAAAAAAAAAAAGCCCTCTCTACTAGACTGGTGACTTTCAACCAGAGTGCTGTAACACCCTAGGGTGCCACGAGATGCTTTTAATACTAGCATGATTAGGTGTGTAAACACCTGCACGTGATGCACCAGGTAGACCCAGGGATTTCAACAAGGGATCCACTGACACAGCGCAGTCTCTCAATGCTTTGCAAGAGAAGATTTGCTCTGGTATTTTTCTAGAAAGCTAAAGGCTGGCATTTTCAGTGGGGACGGTTCGGTTGAGAAGGACTGCGCTCAAGTCTATAGGCAGTTTTGGATGGAGGCACTCTTTAACCTCCCCGTGGAAGCTGCCGTTGTGCCAAACAAAATTCAACAGTCATTAGGGGAAAAGGAGCGCTGTGCCTTACTACTTGGGGCCTGCCCTTAGGAGGGAGGAGGCCTGCCCCGAGGATGGTCTCTGTTTGTACATGAAAGCAGCAGCAGTGAAAAAAAGTCCCTTTTTGGCTGTCTGCAGCTGGGGGCAAGAGCTGCCAGCAGACTACCCCACGTCTGCATGCAAATGCTCCCTTTGTAATACATTTTCCCCTTTGGGGACCCCATAAATTGGAGACACTTTCATCAGATTTAGGAGCACGGTAATTTTTTTTAACTCCCTCCTTGTGTGTAATAGAAGCAGGAAAAAAAGCCCCCCATCTTTAATCTGCTTATTCTTTTAAGCAGGATTGTCTGATCAAACGTCTTCCCCCCCCCCTTACCTGAGGAAGAGGAGAGGCACTGGTGAAGGACAGGTGATGTATACCCCCTCGATGTGCTGGGATCCTGATTTCCCTAAGGGCAAGGAGGCTGGCTGCTCTCCCCTTTTATTGGGCTTGGCTAGGAGCAGATTTCGAAGGTCGGCCTCACCTGTGTTTACTGAGGTCTCAGAGCTTTGGAGTAATGCAGGGAAGAATTTGGACATCCAGAAGTACTACTTACGTTGAACAGTCAAAGGCTTCATCGTGCTGCTTTGATTTAGCATTGCCCACAAGAAAAGATTCTCTGCACCTTTTTCTGTGATCATATTCAGCACTGGTTTCGCTCCTGAAGTTTTCACAGGCAAGCGAGTCTTATTCTGAAAAGTGATTCTTAAAAAGGAACTGCGGGCTTCTCTATTTCATGACTCAATGATTCATAGATGCATTTGCATGGTTAAAAATGGGTGAGTTTTTCCAGTTTTAAAACCTCAGCCTGTGATCTGATAGCTGATCTATGCTTTTCTCTTGTTTCTTTAATTCACAGTAGAAGTTCTGCTGGCGGTCGGTGTAGCTTGTCTATTTAAACACCCATGTCAGTATTTGAGGCCTGGGGTTTAAGGCAGCTGCTTGAATACTTTACTTGATGAGGATTGCTGTTGCTGGAGTTCCCAGACAAATCCTGTTTTTGCTACTCGATCATCTTGTCTTGATAAGTAACAACATTTGTCAACAGCTGACCAACTCTTCTTATTTCTGCTCAACCAACAATAACTGTCAGGATCTTGATTCTGCAAAGCAATAGAGTTCAGTACTGTAAGCACTTTAGCTTGCGCACAACTCAACTCACATGAAGACCAGCATTGACGGTGGTGGGCTGACTTCTCCCACTGGAAGTAGAGGAGTGGTAGGTAGCAGGCAAACTCTGCTGTAAGTCAGGTCAGCATATTCCCACCCCACCTCAAATCACCTATTCACACACTGGACCAGTTCAGCCCAGGGTGCCT